TTTAGAATATGGAAAATGTAGGAAATTAAATATAGTCCTAAAGCAACATTTGGATTTGCTAAAGAATATAAGTGTACATTCATCTAAGTAATTTAACATTTTGCAATAAAGTTCCGAAGTGTCGATTTTACATTATTGTTTCCTGTGGATCATCAATGGCAAGTATACGGACTTTCAACGCTAAAAATCGAGGGTTTGGTTTTCTGTGCTGGACATTCTGTAGCTTCGCTCTAAAATACAAAGACATCATTGTAAAAGGTATATTTTAAATTACAATTTCATAATTTTTATTGACATGCTAAGTACTATAAACATGTTAAAAAGGCACCACCACAAAAGTATTTATGTACTTTCACTTCTAGTGGCCCGGCATGGCCAGGTGGTTACGGCACTCGACTTGCAATCTGAGGAGTGCGGGTTCGAATCCCAATCACACCAAACATGCTCGCCCTTTCGGCCGTGGGGGCGTTATAATGTGACGGTTAATCCCACTATTCGTTGGTAAAAGATTAGCCCAAGAGTTGGCGGTGGGTAGTGATGACTAGTTGCCTTTCCTCTAGTCTTACACTGCTAAATTAGGGACGGCTAGCGCAAAGTCTTATCGTCGACTCACTGTCTTTAGCCAAAGGTATATATGAAAAATGACTAACATGGGTGTGTATGATCTACTATGAACCAAGCCTTATCGTCGACTCACTGTCTTTAACCAAAGGTATATATGAAAAATGACTAACATGGGTGTGTATGATCTACTATGAACCAAGTCTTATCGTCGACTCACTGTCTTTAGCCAAAGGTGGGGATTGCATTAGCCGTGTATGATCTACTATGAACCAAGTCTCATCGTCGACTCACTGTCTTTAGCCAAAGGTGGGGATTGCATTAGCCTATTAAACTACACGATAAATATGTAATAAAATACAATTGCAATTATCAATATAGTGTAATACATATACACTATATGTAAACGTTATTTTGAAAGAACAAAAACAATGTAACAGAGATAGCACACAGAAGTCTGAACGTATGCAGAAAGATTACATAACTATGAAAAAAAAACATATTTAATCACCTTATTAAGCTTTGTGAATAAATGTTAAATAGGACATTCATAATACGATGTGAACGGACCTGAAATATTAAGAAAGAAAGAAAAGAAAAGAACGAGTTAGTCTTGTAGTCGGAACGGAAATGAAGACAGGTCCTGATCTAAGGATGGTTCGTAATTACTTTTCCTCTTTTATTTCTTAGCTAAGACTAAAATCGCCTTTAAGTTCGAAGGATAAGATTCCTCTCCTGCAGAATTCATGTGTTATCTATAAATATATTCTTGTCCTCGATGTACATGAGGCTATACAATTATTATAAATTCGTATTAAGGAAGTAAAGTCACGTTCTTCAGCATGTGTTGGGCTACGACATCCCAGTGTAAAGAGCGTCATTTGAAAAGTCTTGGCAGCAAAAGTGAAGGCCCACATTAAGCATAAATCAGAAATACCCATCCTATTCAGAAGCAAGTTTAGATTTGTAGCCAGAACCTGCGTTCAGTTTCAATTGATAACAAAACGCTAGAGAACATAAAGCTTATGACAAGCAAAATTCAAGAATTCAACTACAAATAGAAGACAAATGAAAATACATTCTAAGAAATTAAATAATATAAAAAACAAGGCTTTACTAAAAGCTCGAAAAAAAGATCAACATGCTGAGGAATACAGTTGTGAAACTTTCACGTATTAGAAAAGCTCATTACTTTACAAGAAGAATAAATCTTAACATTTCTATATTTAGATAAACTCTTTCGGTAAAGTGGTCATTTTATAAGTAGGTTTTTTTTACAGAAAAAAGATAGAGTTTTTGTATCAATTATCATATAACCCCGATATTTTCATTTAGAAACACCAAGAATGAAGATAGTGAAACTTTCTGAAAAAGCAAGAGAAGAATGTATCCAAAAAATCATCAAGGCAGTGAAACATTTGGAAAAAGTGAGAAGAGAATGTATCCAAAACATCATCAAGACAGTGAAACATTTGGAAAAAGTGAGAAGAGAATGTATCCAAAACATCATCAAGGCAGTGAAACATTTGGAAAAAGTGAGAAGAGAATGTATCCAAAACATCATCAAGACAGTGAAACCTTACGAAAACCCAAGAGAAGAATGTATCCAAAAAATCATCAAGGCAGTGAAACTTTTGGAAAAAGTGAGAAGAGAATGTATCCAAAACATCATCAAGACAGTGAAACCTTCCGAAAAACCAAGAGAAGAATGTATCCAAAAAATCATCAAGGCAGTGAAACATTTGGAAAAAGTGAGAAGAGAATGTATCCAAAACATCATCAAGACAGTGAAACCTTACGAAAACCCAAGAGAAGAATGTATCAAAAACATCATCAAGGCAAAAAAAAAAAACTTCTGAAAAGTGAGAGGATGATGTTTTGGAATAGAAAAATGTAAAAGTTTTTAATTTAACTGGAGTCATTTTTTTTTAAAGAGGAAAGTTATCTGTAAAATAAAAGTATACATTGTTGTTTAGTTAACAATATTAATAAAATTCCAATTACCATAGATACAAAACATCTTTGCTCGAAAAACTTCTTCTTTGGGATTTTTAAAGATATATTTTTTTTTCGAGTGAAACTGATACTACAATACTGAATATTACCATTTACTGCTTTCAACTTAAACAATAAGGTTGACGGTAAACATATAAGTGAAAAAAGCTTTTTGATACACTTCTTTGATATAAAGGTAAGCTTTAAAAAGGTAGAGAAAAAAAAATATTACGACTAAATATCACATAAAAAGTTTTGGCGAAATGCTCATAGGATCGTCTTATTTAAAATATAATTTTTAAAACGTCTTTATAATGTATTGTTCCCCAGTGGCATGTCTGCGGATTTACGACCCTAGAAAGCTATTTTCGATCCCCGTGGTGGGCAGAGCACAGATAGTCCATTATGTAGTTTTGTGCTGAACTTCATACAAATTATAATGTATCATATGATATTGATTGTTTGGCTGCGATACACAAAGAAAATATGTAAGGTTAAAATTGACTATATATCTACATACTAGATTTTGAGCCAAATGTGAGTTATTAAAAATATATGTGAAACCCAATCTATCATTTGGTTGATCATTTATCACTGAGTTTGACCGATTTAGGGGAATTCCATTACTTTTATTTATTACAAAAAATAAAAAAACAACACACAATCTTAAGACTTAATAATAATTACCTATAAATTGAGGGCCGTGAGCTTAAATGACAGATGTGTGTTTTGGTAAGCAACTTTATCACGTATAGTTTTATCGTTGCTCGAATTATAACTACTTATATGTGTATTATATTTTTTGTTTTGTTTTGAATTTCGCGCAAAGCTACACGAGGGCTATCGGTTCATAGTAGATCATACACACCCATGTTAGTCAGTCGTTTTTCTTCAACTCATTTAGGTCAGAAATTCAGTTTGATTCTGCAATATATTTTCTATTATGTTTCCAGTTACTGCGGTTATTGTTTTTACTAGAACGTACTTTAGAACAATGCATTCTATTTGTGAAAGTTTTGTTAAGTTGATTTAAGAGAGTAAAAACAAAAAGGAGCTTGACTTACCCCCACAGTAATAAGCTGCTGAGTTGTAAACGACATTTTAGAATACGTTCGCCCTAGTGATTTAAGTAATTTTTCTAAACACTACGTAAAACGTAGTATTGCTGTCAGGTATTTGTATAACTGATCTACGGGTATCTTTTAATTAGTAAATAATATAAAATAATGCATTTTACTGTTTTCAATATTCTTTATCTCATAACTCATATTCGGGTTTGTTAGCGATAGGTGATGTTGACTCTATAACTTCTAAATGAACTAGTAGTCTTGGAGTTATTTTGCGAGAAATTCAACAAATTAATAAATCATATTTTTCTATGCCGTGTTTTAGCAATAAACAATACCACATCATGATGAAATGTTAAATGAGATAAAAATAAATTTCAGAGTTTTATAAATTTTAAGTTTCTGTTTTAAGGTACCACGATTTATTTTAGAAGATGTGTTATTTATTTAGAATAAGTTAGTTTCGAATATTGGAGACCAGTTATGACGTAATTGCTTGTATATCAGGTTGCAGATCGGAAGGTCCAAGGTTCGAGCTTCGATGTGGGCATGTTGTAAAAGTGACACTCACTACCGTTATTCGGTTAAAAGTGGTCTTTTAGGAGTCAGGTGTTGCTGACTGGTTGGTCTTCTTCTGGTTAGCAGTTCTAAATTAGGGACGAGTTTGCCTGACCCTTGGGGCTCTTACCTTACTATTTAGTCTATATGCTGCATAAGTTGCGGTTTTGAATATCAAATACAATTGGAAATCGGGATAAATAATGCAATATTAAAATAATAAAGTTAATCTAAAGTTTATAATTCTTTTTCAAAATCTTGCTTCAAAATATATAGTATTAATTAAGATAATATATGTAATTTAGTTGGGACATCTTAAGTCTGATGTATGTATAAAATAATTTGATATTATTTGCGATACTTAACGATTATATGCTTTAAGTAATACTGGATAGAAAATATTTTTCAATTTGTCTTCCCGTCTCCACATCACACAGCAAAATCTTTGTCGTCTTGTTGAAAGAAGTCGTTGAGTAAACAGTAGTAGTTATATTTCGTTTAAATAAATGCCACCCAGTGGCACAGCGGTATATCTGCGGACTTACAACGCTAGAATCCGGGTTTCGATACCCGTGGTGGGCAGTGCACAGATAGCCCATTGTGTAGCTTTGTACTTAATTACAAACAAACAAACGTTTAAATAAATCATGAAATCGACATTTTGATTTCAGAGTCCTTTCTTTGTATTATTTTTAAACAACTGTTGTGCGATAACTAACGATATTTTATTATTACGTGTTTTCCCGTTCTTCCCAACTGTCTTGCATGGTAGAACTGGTCATCACAATATTTTAACACCATAAACAGCAACACTGGTTATGGGTCGATACTTTTTCCTCTCTTTTTTTTAATTATTTTGATGATACATATTTCTAATTTCTCTTCTTAATAACACGCTCTTACATTTGAAACGGTTTTCTAAATATTCTGTTTTATCGCTTAAATAAATTATGAATCTCTATCACGCGAAATTTAAGGCTTTTATTTATAAACATGCCTTTTAGATATTTTTGTTTGTTTGTAATTAAGCCTAAAGCTAAACAATGGGCTATCTGTGCTGTGCCCATCACAGTTCGAAACCCGGTTTTTGGCGTTATAAGCCTTCAGACTTAGCGCTAACTTTTAGATAATGTTTCGAGATAATATAAAATTTTATGTTTCAAGTTTCACAAATCAAAGTAAATGTGTTAAGTCAAGTAAAAAACACAACTGAAAATAAACACAAATATTCCAGTTCGCTGACTCAGGTGATTTATAGACATTTAAAACTAACGTTATTAATGCATTATTTACGTTGTAAACATAACTGACATGAAATACCTCGCAATGACCTTAACGTAAAATTATGTGTGCTACTTAAATAATATTTTTGAGGCATATCAATCTCCTCTCTATATGGGAAGGGAGATTTAAGAAAGTTATATTAAAACGTCGTTATAGTCTATTTTGCCATGCTTGGTCATGCTCTATCTGACAATAGCACTGAAACGTAGTTTTCATTGCAAAAGGCTTCGTCGTAAGGCTGTTATGTCCAAAGCAAATCATTCCTGTCTGTAGGGTTTCTATAATCCATCTATAGAAAGGGGACGACGGTTTCCCAGCACACGTTTCAACAGTGCATTTGCACAGAAATCCATAGGTGTTCCATCCGGCGATTTGACCAGTATGTCGTCGATTGGAATAGCATGAAACACAGTTTCATTCTCCAGCTGTCTGAAGTATATGACAGTTGAATGGGAAGTGTAACTGGAAGCCTTATCTTGGTGAACTCATACCCTGCTGGCCTCGTTTTGGTACACAGCTGGTATTCCTGGGTATTAGAAAAGATGCATAATAAGCGCAGAGTTTACCTTGACCTTTTTATGCATTTTTCTTAATTCTAACTGGCCTTTCGCACATTATCCAGTGATGGTAATGAATTCTTTCGAAAAGGGTTCGCGACATACGGTGTACCACTTTTGGAATATATTTTCATTTGTTTTATTTCAGTAAAAAATGGCATGAGACTTATTACAGTTATCAATATGCACATACGCCTCGCCAAATGTCATCGCGTATTGCCATTTTTGCCAGCTAGGTGTCGTTCATACAGATTTATACAGTTGGTTATCCTTTCTTGGTTATTTCATAGAAGCAGCTTGTGTATATGTGATTTCTGTCGCTTTTCCAGATGGAGATCTGTTTTGATTATGTTGCTTACTGTTGTTTGGGGCATGTGGACGGCTTTTCCTACTGATCTTTGTGTTCATGTACTCTCACCTGTTACAACACCGCACTTTTCTTATCATGACTGGGATGCGACGATTGCAGGTCTCTTTCTTAATGGTCCTGGCGCCACAAGTTGATCCATATTCATATCTTTTTCAATGCCAAAAACTACGAGGGACATTCCCATCTTGGAAATTCTAAATACCCGATCTTAACACACCTTTATGATATGATTGTATAAATATTTTGGTCAGGAAAGGGCTGTCACGTAAGCGCTCAATTTTTGGTAGCATCACGTTGCCCACGTACAATACACAATGTCCAAACGAGGTTATACGTATCGTTTCACCGCGACTTTATATCGTCTGTTATTGTCATGTGACATAATGTACTCAACCCTCTATACATATAAGTAAATATAATAGCCTAATTTTAACTGCATTCGAAAATTTCTTGACAATTTATGTAATTAATAATCATTTACATATCTACAATGTAGATCTAACTATATAATATCAATTGGCCACGATGAAAGAATTAGCACAGAGGATCACCAAAAGACAGATAGAGTTCAAAAGAAACTCGAGAGATTTTTGGGTGTTTTGAACTATAAAAGGTTGGCAATATTATTAATTATACTTAAACAAAGTAAAAAAAAACAAAAAACATTTGATTTATTCTTAGATAAATTCCATCTACACCAAATTTGTTAATTTTTTGCTTCATGTATTTGTTTTTTTTTTAATTTCGCGCAAAGCTACACAAGGCCTATCTGTGGTTGCCATTCCTAATTTTGGAGTGATAGACTATAGGGACGGTAGCTAGGAAAAAACATTCTCCGCTAACTTTTTGAATACGCTAATAAATTTGACTGTCATTTATAACTAATCCTCGGCCTCAAAATGCGAAGCGCGATTTTGCGAAAACAGGACATCAAATGTAACCCTCGGATTTACAGTCCGATACGCTAACCATTAGGCCACCCCCTCTCCACCCCATAGATCAAAGTAAGATGTTCAAAGGTACAGAAA